TAAACAAAAATGGTGGAGGGGGGCGACTTTTATAGCTCTTTTAGAGTTTCACTGATTATGATGAAATTCATAAATAACTGCTTCACTCACAGTTCACTTTTATAGCTATGAACATTAAACGCACTGAGATGTCCAACACTATTAGCTCCTGTATCACTGCCTCATTTTTATGCATCTGTGTCTTCAAGCATTTTGGTCTATAAGCACCTGAAAATGTAATTTTTCCCAGAGTGGACTGGCAGGAAGTCAATGTCATTATTAAAAATGCTGCACTCTCTGTGTAATGAGCTTCAGAAACTAAATTAATGCAAAAGTTGCTGAAATTCCTGTCTGAGATGTAACATAAACTCTAGATTAGTTTTGGAGCTGGGTTATCTGGTAAATGTGTCTTTTGGGAAATATTATGATATTCACTGCCTGGATTTTCTCTCTAGCCACTGAGTGTTTGTGCCACATTTACATGTACATCACTGGGGAAAAATAATGGACCAAGCCCAAATTGGCAAATATTAAGCTTTTAATGGTCTTAAGAACAAATCATTGGTCAGAAAATGAGCAAGAATTAAACAAATGCACTCCTGAGACGTCCTGTGCCAACATTTGCTCATTTACTTTTGCTGCAGTGAACTGTTTGGGGAAAAGCTAGAAACAGGGAAATTCACTTATATAGTCTTCTTGTACACAAAGGTAAAATCATGATAATGATTAAAATGTTTGATGTAAAATTCAAACTAAAATGTGTCTGGGTGTAGTAAATTTTCCAAAAATATCTTCTCAGATGTTTTTCTCTTAAAAGATTAGTCATAATTTGGTTATCTGCCACACCTGATACAGCGCATCAAGGGCCACAAGGCTTAAACATTTAAAGAAATCGAAGGGAAAAGCTCTCTCATACTAAGTTCCTTTATCTATTTGTGTAATTCTTGCTAATGTCGTGACCAATGATTTGTTGTTAAGACCATTAAAACCTTAATATTTTGCCATTTTTAGCTTGGCCCATTTTTTGGCCAGGAGTATAGTCATTCATTAATAAAGCAGCTCATTTTCTATTTCATCTGCACTTTCAGTGGTTTATTCTGTATTCACCATTCATCTCGTGACTTTATGAAAAATGTAAAGTTTCTTTCTTACACATAGCATCACTCCTTTTTGCATTAGAATTAAAATAGACCTGTATTGCAAGCTTTTTGATTTACCATCAGCATGTTCATGTCTTTGATCACTAGACATTTTTAATTAAGAGCAGTTTATTCTTCGTTATACCACGGCACTTTTGAATTCTCAAATCGGATTGGACAGAAAGTGTTGCTTAATGTTGAGAGTACTTCCAGCTGTGATTCAAATCAGTTTTATGTTAATGCGCTCATTATAATATGTTATCATTTCTATACTAACAGCTCATTCACAGGGACTTGTATGGTAGACAATTCACATAATCTAAAACTAATAATAAAAAACTGATTAAATGCATGATATTATTTAACAAAGAAAAACATATAATCATAGTTAACATTCAGGGAAGGAGTCTCCAGGGACAGAGAATTTTGCGTTTTCCGTTTTCTCTGTAATATGACAAGCTGTATGTGTTTTTTTTTTTTTTTTTACTTATTAATTTCAACAGAGAGAAAAAAAGAGATCCCTTGTTAAGGGATGACTGTTTATAGCTGCTATTATCTAAGTGATAACATGAACTAACTTGACTCACGAACATTCTATAACATTAAATGCAACTATAAATGGCTAAACAGTACAATACAATAAGTCAATACAATAAGTCGTTCATTCATATTTTTTTTTAAATCTAATAATTGTCAAATTGCTGTGGTGTAAGAAGAATTAAACACTTTGAGATGTGCTGTTATAGGAAAATAATTAACTCCGTGGTGGTAACAGTAACTCTGATTTGAATTGGGCCGCATCACACCACGTCATCATTGATTATTTTCCTAGAACACCACACCCCAAGAGCATGCTTGTTTCTTATTCATATTTTTGTGGTGGTTTTTATTTTTCTGTCCTGTTTCTGCATGTGTTTTGCTTCTCGCACGCTGACGCCACTCTCCAGGAAAACTAGCATCTTGGGCTTGTCAGGACAGTAGGTAACATTTCAGTGAAATTCTGGCACAAACAGATAAATCATATGGTACCCTGATAGGACAAGGCCTGAGAGAGTTTCAGATATACTGCACAAAAAAGCACAGAGTAATGCTATCGATATGGTCTGCAGAACTCTGTAATGTTATTTATATTAAGGTAGCATTGGTAATCAGGGAAGTGTGAGATTGAGATCAAGTAAAAGAGCTGTAAAAAAAAAAGTGTAGGGCTTGAAAGACAAGCTAAAGAGACGCCAATGACAGAGTCCAATGTTAAAATGATTGGTGCTAGCAGAACGTCAAGGATTGAGTACAACGTTTAAAATGATTAGTGCTAGCATTGTAATTTAAAAGAAGTGCAAATCCAGAAAACACTGAAAAGCTGCAGAAAGAGTTCCCATAACCTGATATTATTCAGCATGGTGAGCTGGAGCTGGTTTTATTCAGGTAATAAATCGGCTCAGTCCAAAAGAGGTCCTGTAGAAGTGAAGCTTGTATCATATATCCAGTATTCTCACTTATTACAGCTGTCGAATTCTGGATTCTGATTGGTCAGAAGGTGTTGATTAACTTTCTGTAATAGCAGTGTTAACGGCAATTCTGGCTGCAAGACAAATCACAGGTTCATATTAATGCATTTGTTTTAATACGTTTCTATAGTAACAGCTAATTCTCATGGACTCATATGGTAGAAGCACCACATTAACGGATTATAAAAGTGTGTAATTGTTGATATCATGAGATCTTCTGTGAGAAGATGTTTAGTTAGCATTTGTGGAAGGAGTCTCCAGTGTCAGTGCTTTGTAGCTTTGTAACACCCAGATGTAAGGCTGTAACGTTAATTTTTCCACCACTGTAAAGTCTTCAGGACAGTGGACTCTGGTTTCTCGGTAACATGACAAACTGCAGTTTTGGTATTTATTGTCTTAAAGTGAAAGAAACAAAGAGGCTGGCAAGGAAATAGCTACTTACAGCTGCTATAACATAAGTGATAACCTGTTTCTTGGATGTCCCACAACCTTAAATGTAATTATAAATGGATTTAAAAAAATGACATGCTGGTCATTAATAGATTTTTAAAAAATGGTGTTAGCAAATTGTTGTGGTATAAGAGGAATAAAACACTTCAGGACATGCTGTTGTAGGAAATGAATCAACTTCATGTTGGCAACAGTAACGTCATCTTCGTCCTTGAGCACAGCCTGGAGTGTTTTTATTCCTTACTTAAATGACTGAGTTCTACAGCAAAGCATCTCACACACACACACACACACACACATAAAAGCACACAGAGGAATTAATGTACTGCCATGTCAACTGCTAATTGAAGTGTGTGTTAAACAATGTGAAGTGAAAATTTCTGTCTCTAATGAAAGTCTGATAAGAGTGACAGAATTTCAGAAAAAATAACTGCTTCATCTCTCTTGGCATCTGATTCCCCTCAAGTCTCTGTCTTTGCTTTATTATTTATTAAAGATGACTGTGTCATGGCCGGTCATGTCAAGTCAACAGTTATAAAGTAGCCGTTTTCCTATAATGACAGAAAACTGTATAGAGGACAATGCATTAAAGTTATTTAAGTCTCATTCTCCAGGATTTATGGTATGAAATCATTTGAGTCTTATTTCAGGATTTTCTTAGCTATAGAGATTTCCCATTTCAACATTGAGCTTCTTTAATGTTCACCATTAGACTTTTAATTTAATTAAACAGGATGATTATCCTAAGGCTTTGTCTGTGATGAATCTTATACAGCAATCTAATGACGTTTTTAGATTAAAACTCTCTTTTTTGCATTGATACTGTAGGTGCAGCAGGAGGACAGAGAGGATTCCTCGGATGCATCCGTTCCCTGAAGATGAACGGCGTGACCCTAGACCTGGAAGAAAGAGCAAAGGTCACTCCTGGAGTTAAACCCGGATGTTCGGGTCATTGCACCAGTTTCGGGATGTACTGCCGCAACGGAGGGAAGTGTGTAGAGAAATACAACGGCTACTCGTGTGACTGCAGCAACACGGCTTATGACGGACCCTTCTGCACTAAAGGCGAGCGATTAGCATTCAATATAATTTCATTATTATATCATAAATACTCTTGCTCTGATCAGTTTCTACAGTGCAGCTGAGTTCTCAGATCTGACTGGTCAGAAGGTTGATTAGATCTGACAGTAGTTTCAGCTTAAAGGCAAATCACAGGTAGCTTGGTCTAATATGTTATCATCTCTATAGTAACAGCTAATTCACAAGGATTTGTACGGCGGACATGCCACATAATCCAAGAAGGGATTTAACAATGAAATGTATGTTCATTAATGTGGCGAAGTTTTCTGTAATTTGACATTTATTTAACATCTATTGAAGGAGTCTCCAGAGCCAGCACTTTGTAACAGTAAGTTTTCCACAATTGGAAAGTCTATCTTCAGAACAGTTTTCTAGTTTCTCGCTAACATGACAAGCTGTTTTTTTTTTTTTTTTTTAACTTCATGAAAAAGAAGGTAAGGGAACAGGCAGGTAAGGGAACAACTGTTTGTAACTGTTATAGCATAAGTGATAACCGAACAACAGAAGATCTAACTTGTCTCACAGACATTCCACAACATTAAATGTAAGTATAGACAGATAAAAAGAATGATTTGTCTGTCTTTTATTTTTAAACAAATTCATTGTTGACAAATTGCAGTGGCATAAGAAGAATAAAACACTTCATGATGTGCTTCACATCAGGCAGCATTACATCACCCTATTATTGATTATTTTTGTAAAACAGCATGCCTAGTTTGGCTTTATTCCATAGATATTATAATATATGCAATATACAGTATGTCAGAGAGAGGATATAGAGTATGGAAGTGTGTAGAATGAACTGATAAACTTAACCTGTACACTACCCCTTACTTGAATACGTGGGTCCCTGGAGGACTAGGGGTTAGGCAACAGTGCTCTCATCGCCGCAGAGCGGGTTCGATTCCCGGCCAGGGAACCGACCCCAGCCCCTGGGGTTGCATGCAACAGTGCGCTCTCAGTGCTAGTCCCAAGCCTGGATAAAAATTGGAGAGGGTTGCATCGGGAAGGGCATTCGACGTAAAAACTGTGCCAAATCAAATACGAAGAACCAATGATCCGCTGTGGCAACCCCTAATGGAAGCAGCCGAAAGAAGAACAGCAACAACTTAAATGAGCCTCATAGACAGTTGTGTTTATTGAGTTTCAATTCATTGCTTTCCATTGTAAATCAGTTACTTGGGTTTATTTTTCAGCTCTGTGCTTCCATCCAGCCTGATTCCCATATGAGCAGCTTGTAACAGCAATGACTAAACACACATTTCCATTTCATACATATTTACTTACTCACCCCACCATGTGGATAAGTGTCAATAATGAATTCTCAGTCATTTCTGATTTTTCTAATGCATGGTTTCATTGTTCTTGTTTATTTCTTTTTTTTGTTTGTTTCTGTGATATTGTGGTATGTGTAGTAGAAACACTATATATATATATAGATAGATAGATAGATAGATAGATAGATAGATATAGATAGATAGATAGATGGAGAGAGAGAGAGAGAGAGAGAGAGAGAGAATTTTATTTATTAATGATTGGTTTTATAGTTTATAGCTCTATATATGGAAAGGTCACCTACAAGCAGCATTTTACTTTGATTCTCATGATCTCTCATGATTTCCCATGATCCTTTTCATTCTACCTCAAATGCAACAGCTTGTGCATTATTTGTGATTTTACTGTAATAGGCATATATATATATATTGCTCTTACTCAGCCAAACAAGCCACATGAGCAATTTTCCACTCTTGTACTTGTCTTCAATAGTTAATAAGACAAAGTACTGTGTTTACAGCTTCTAAGAAGCATACAAATAATGGCAGCCATTTTGTCATGCCTGTGACTGCAAGTCTTAAAGTTGCAGACAATATCCATTTCCCATGATCCTCAGCCTGCAATCACACTCAGTTACAATTAGTGATGAGAGATAGAACAGAGGGGGGAAGTTCCAGATAGAACTGAGTTTGTCTCTAACAGAGCATGCTGTGTGTTTGTGTTGCAGATGTGGGAGCTTACTTTGAAGCAGGAACGCTGGTCCGCTATAACCTGATGCCAGAGGTGATGTCCTCGGTGTCCAGCATGGATGGAAAGGATTTCGCCCAATCTCTGAACACAGACATGAACCTGACCCGAGAGGTTGTGACCTTCAGCTTTAGCACGTCCAGCACTCCCAGCATCCTCCTGTACATCAGCTCAAGGATCCGTGACTACATGGCTGTGGTGCTGCGACGCAATGGTACGCACGGTCCTCAAACAGACTAAACAGTTTACTAGTTCTCAACATTTTAAAAATATTTTCTTCAACTCTGGGCTTCTCAATAAATGGCCTGAGATTGAATGCCTCTGTGTAATGATTTCCTCTGAGTGTCTTAGCAGTTTATCACTTTAGTGTGCAAAACAAAGCGGTGCTTTTAGAAAGCATCTCAATTTAACCAATGCAGCTAAGAAATGTTTAATGGCTTTCTGTCACACTCACTCGTATCGACTTAGACACAGTTGAACACACACATGCATACAGAAATAATTCAGTCTGAGGTTTAACGTCAGTGCAGTGTGTGTGTGCGTGTGTGAGTGTGTGTGTGTCAAAGTGGCACTGTAAGAATTAAGAGAAGAGAGTTCACACTTAATCCTCTCCAAATAAGAAGTCTCTCTCTCTCTCTCTCTCTCTCTCTCTCTCTCTTTCTCTGTCTCTCTCTCTCTCTCAGGTTCCCTACAGCTGCGTTATAACCTCGGGGATCTGCTCGAGCCCTTCACCGTCGATCTGGATCAGCGCAATTTGGCCAACGGACAGCCACACAGTGTCAACATCACAAGAATAGAAAGAGAAATCCACGTCCAAGTGAGAGCCGCCATCACACACGCAACCATCACACCCTCACCTTCCAATATTCTTTGACGTTAACACTCAGGTTTTATTTTCAGTTGGACATGTAGTGTCTCTGGCACTCACTGTAATACACTGATCTCCTGAGAGTGTGTATCGATCGATAAGCAGTGCAGAGCAGTGAGAGCTGATGAGGTGATGAGGTCAAGGTGTGAAGCAGCATCAAAGGTGTAGTCTGGATTAGATTGTGTGTGTGTGTGTGTCCTTGAGCTGTGTTGTTTTCTGTTGTTCTAAGAACTTAGTAGTAGTACATACAGTAGTGGTCTGTGCTAATGTCAATAAATATGAAATCTTAATCAGTGTTGATCTAAACTAGTTCACATGAATTTTTTTAGAATAAATTCTTTTGGGATTGTCATTTTCTTGTCAGTTCAAGTTGTTTTTAAAGTATTTCGTAACTCGCTGTAGAGAAAATGTTCTCTTTCTTGTTGTATTTGAGTCTTGATGAAAGAGATGAGCGGCCCTGAGAGCATTAAACACTTTACCCACTTTTACTTTCTCACTTCTCTCTCACAGCTCATTGCATGCTTTACCCCTGAATTTATCCTTTATTCTCAGAGGAATTCCCTCAGTGAGGCGAATCGTAACTCTCTATTAGTCACCAGAAGGTTGCGAGGTCAAATCCCTGCACTTTCCATCTGCTCCTGTGGGCTTTTAGACCTTAATTATTAATCATTAACAATAATCAGGCTTCCTCACTTAATCCATCGCCTTGAGGATAAATAAAGTTAATACAATTTTTTAAATGTAATTCAATTTTTTTGAAAAAAATCTGTCCTTCATGTTCCACAAGGCCAAGCTGGAGCTTATTTGCAGCTCATTAGCAGGCTATGTGGCTCTCAGAGAGTTTGGAGCCTTGGGGAAGCTTTTCACAGCAACGTTTCTCTCAGAGTCAGCCATTAGCTCCTTTTGATAAAGGTAAAGAAGCTCAAAGCTATTTAATGTTGTCACAGTAAAACTTCCTGAATCTGCCACTCTGAGCTCCTCATCAGCAGAGTCCTTAGAGATGAGCTACAAATTCAGGAAACACTGAGGACAACTTACCTAGCATACTTTGGTGGAATAAACAGCTTCACGGTTATCAATCTGAGTCGAGCGAATGTGAAGGACAGCGGTGCAGTCAGAGTGTACTTTAAGCACAGTTCCACCAAGTGGAGATTGAGAGCTGATCCTAACAGCAAAATCTCTGAATCTGTGTGAGTCAGACACATTTATACATTTATAATAAATAATAATAATAACAGATATTTTATTAAGCTATTTTATGAGCAGGCACATTTGAACACAGTCCAAAAGTTACATCAATATTTACAGTACATGGGGAAACTTATGAATATTTCAGGGTTGTTTTTCACCATGCTGTTGTGCACAATTTCAGTATTAAATCCTCACTGTGTGTGTTTCACTGATTTCTGAATATGGTCCCCAATCTCTGTAACATTGTGCTTTCCGCTGTTTCTTGTTGCACTCCATGTATTAAAGGTGAATGAACTTTCTCTGAGAACATGATCATGTCCCTTCAAAAACTTTTATTAATGTGATGAATGTGTTTTCATTTTCTGATGATGTCATGATGATATCTTATTTGCAGTGTGGTCTAAGCAGTAAAGATAGGTTGTATTCTTGTCAAAGTGGACCACCATGCCAATATCTGCATTCGTCTTTATGCTATAACAGAAATCCTCAGTTCTTTTAAGTGTGTGTGATTTTTATTTTTACAAATTGCTTACTTTGGACTGGAGTATTTTTCAGATTGTCCAGTTATCACTGTTCAGATAAAAGAAAGATATTCTAAGCATATTTTCTTTGTGTGTGTATATGTGTGTGTGTCTTTCCCATAGCTGGACCACTATCCTTCGGTCAGCTACACTCTGCCTGAAGCCTCAGACACTCACTTCAACCTGGTTAAGACTCTCTTCCTAGGAAAAGTCTTCGGTAAGCCCCGTCCTCAGCACTATCACTCTTTCTGTCATGATCACTTATTTCTGCAGCAGGATGATGGCATTCTTTACTAACATAATCCCCAAATAATGGGTCCTAATTGACAGAAAGTGGGAAGGGTGATAATGGATAACACACAGACCTCCTTAATTGAGGCAAGATAATAATTACCACTGAGTTAGAATCAGAAGTGTACAAGTGTTGAATGAACAGGATATTCAGACATATGTTTCATGTCACATTCAATGACTTCTTAGGAAAAAAAAACATAGTAAGGATCATCTGAGTACAATTTAGTGTTAATAACTAATAAAATAATAGTACTTGTTAGTAGTGAATATTGTAGATGGGTTACTGGGTTAATGCCATCAGCTTCTTAGATTTACAGTGTAATATTTAATAGACTAGTTATGGAAAAAATGAAAGTATGATTTCACAATTGGGCCATTCAACCCTAACCATAATTCTTAAAAATTAAAATTTATTTTTTTAAATAATTTTTTCAACACAGATTCTACAAAAATATTAATTTCACCATTCCAAAACATTTCTCACTATATTTCTAGCATTCATTCTTTTATCTAACACTTTATATAGCATACCATTAAGAATTCTAATAATTTACTTTTTTTTAATTTCATTCAATAATTTACTTTCAGTCTATAATTTGGGTAACTTTATTGTACAGGGTTTCAAAGTAAACTCATCAGCCCATATCATAATATCATTGAAAATAAAAAAATAAAATAAAAGAGAGAGAGAGAACTTTTCTTCTTCCCATGATCTTCAGGAATTTGGACATTTTCCAAATATTTTATAGAAGGGAATGTGCTCAATTTTAGAGGGTTCAGTAAATGTTAAATTATTTTTTCATAATCTATAAAGGATGACTCATGGAAAAGGATATTTCAGGCATGAGATGTTAAGGATTTACACATTGATGCAAAAATCATATGCTTCATGAAGCATTTTAATGATTATATTTGAAGGTAAAGTGTAGTTTGGTGGAACAGGCAGTTTTATTGTTTTAAGTCATTTACTGAAACACGCACACAGGTTGTTGTGAAGGACACTATCTGTATTCAAAATGTTTT